ACTGGGGAGAAAATATTTTACAAACGTAACCAAGTGCAATTACATTTCCCATTATGTGGGTTTGGTTCTACGAACCTCGGATACCTCTTACTCCAATCTCTTATTGATTTAAGATTTTGAAATTGTTTATTGTTGATACGAATCAGAAGCTTCTTATTGTGACAACACTTGATAGAAGAATGGGAAAGTGGTTGCATTAATTCAACATATTGAAAGTGAACAAGGTTCTCATCTCAAGATTTGGAACTCTTCTTCATGAAGAGGAGGTTATTGGGTGGTGACTAGAGAGAAACATTTCCTTGTAGCTTTTCTACTAGTAAATGATTAATTGACCAAGATGTTGACCTATAATATGGAAACACAATAAAATTCAATAATACTGATAAATACAGTAGTGAATATGAATGGTAATCATAAATCACTGAAAAAATCATGATTGGATCCATTTTGAGACTTTTGGAAGTCAACTTGGATGGCAATAGGGGAGCTTTTGATGTGGTTAACACTTTTAAAGGGATCTGAATATTTTATTAGATAATATATGTCATCGTTTTACTTTATCACTAAATGTTGAATATCATGATGTTATGACCTATATTTCCAATTTGCGAAATGTTGCAATGTCAATGTTTAATTGAAATATTGCCATCATACCAATAATTGATTATATATTATAAAACTGATATTATACACTATAATTGATATATATATGAATATATAATTGAAAGATTTGGTTTTAGACATTTATTAATGACGTGGGTAGTTCACTAAGGTAGTAACTTTGTCATGTGACATCTATCTAAGATGATATTGAAATCATTCCAAAATTGATTCGATGAGAGTATTTGATGATTATAACTTGGTAGTATTGAATTGGTGTTGATTATTACCATTCATGACATGTAAGAATGTTACCTTTTTGTCAATTAGGACAGTAGCTTGACAGATAGTCCAATTATATAGATATTGATTTGTATCACTCAAATACGTTATGAACATCAATTATAAGAGTATTTGTATGATATTCTATCTTGTTGAACATCTTGATATTGACTTGTCATATATCATGAGTAGTTAGTGACATGGTTAAATGGCATGAATACTGAATGATG